TTCAACTATGATGTCAAAGTTTTAGGATTACTATGATGGTAATATAACCACAATTAGTTATATTTGTCTTTAATTTTTCACAATATCAAATATCTTAACAAAATCATCACCTATGACCAAAATTTAAAACCTTTATATAATTGGAAATAATAATTTTTTTTTCATTTATTTATTAAAAAGTAAGACCCTTTTACAATGATTAGCCTAATTGATGACACACAATTTTCCTCCCCACCCCTTTTATTTTATTAATGCTAAAAATAAATAGAAATGACATTTCTTGCTTCAACAAATTAAACTAATTATGAATGAATGATTGATATAGTAGTAGTTGAACTTGAGTTTTGAGATTTGAAGTATTTTTTACCCGAGAAAAACTCTATCACCATTTACGATGGTGTATTGGAAAAAACCTAAGTCCAATATCGACTAGAGATTAGGCAATTGAATAGTATATAAGTGGAAAACAACCCTCACCTTACAAGCCAGTTTTGTAGGGTTGAGTTAGGTTCAAATCTATTATTCTAAGATGGTATAAAAGCTATCCTAGATTCTTAAAAATGGGTCACCCACCATTACCAAGCCCAATAATGTTGGACGTGAGGGGGTGTATTGGAAAAAAATCCAAGTCCCGCCAATCCTAGATCATTAAAAAGGGTCACCCACCATTGATTCACGTACCAAGCCCAATAGTGCTGGACGTGAGAGGGTGTATTAGGAAAAACCCAAGTCCCACATCGACTAGAGATTAGACAATTGAATAGTATATAAGTGGAAAACAACCTTCACCTTACAAATCGATTTTGTAGAGTTGAGTTGGGCTCAAATCTACTATTCTAATATAGTGGAAGGATGAGGAAGGTTTTAAATGCAGGCACTAATGCTATTGTCCAACCGAATTTTACAACGATCATCTTCACATTCCAAGAAATGCATATTCAGTGATCCCAAAAGCAATGAAAGTGCTACCATTTGACATATTCTTGTTGTGATTGACATTTTGAAGATTCACTTTTTTGTATATTAGTATTTTCCTTCACTTTTTATTTCTTTTTGTGTGACACAATCTTTAAGATCAATGAGAGAGTTACTTAAGATTCAAGCAAAGGTTAGAAAGTTTGTGATGACTAATGAACTCAAACTTGGAAGAGAGGAAATTTTAATTTTAGTTTACCTATATTGGGCTTCAGAATATCCTAAAGTCTTGTAGATTGGTTGTTACAACATGGAATTTTCGATGTCAACAATGTCATTTCCGACAATTAGGTTTGCATGTGGTGTTTATTTGGAAGTCAAACGAGGTTGTGTTCTACTCTGCTTTATTATGGAGTTTGATACAAGGAACTCAAGTATCAAGGGCGCGTATATTAAGTTATTAACTGAATTTTTTTTCTTTCTTGGAACTGGATTGGGTTGAAGAATCAATAAACAGTCCAAGTACAAATAGCAATAAGATTTGCATTTGTTTGAGCTTTTATATGCTTGCAATTGCTCCAAAGGCCTCGTTAGAGCCCAAATTTCACACTACCCTGTATTTGGTATAATCAAACCTCTATTCTAATGTACCAAAAGATATGATTCACGAGAAGTTGTTATGTCCACTTCCAAATCTCAGAGATCCTTTTCCTTGCATTTATTTATTGGTGCAACTGGACATATTTGGGGCACTTAAAAATTTTACAAACTTTTCATTAACACATAACTTTTCAAATCATCATTTACTTCAACTTTCTGTTCTTATTTTCTTTCTTGGATTCAATGTATTTTAAAACTCATATTTTAAAACTTGAAACAAATGTTAGAATTCAACATTTCCAAACTCATATTTTTAAAAATTGTTTTAATCTATAAAACAAATGCGACCTTGGGTTTTAGTGGCACTTTAATAAATAAAAAAAAAGTTTTTTCTATTCTAAAATGATGATCACAAACACAAATAAAAAAACATAATTATATTAAAAAATTATAATTCAAAGATTCATGGGTTTTATAGTTAAAGAATGAATAATAAACATAACTCTATTATTCATGTTGATATACTAAAAGGATTATATACATTATATTTTGTCTAAAGATCTTAAACTAATTTTATAACCATTATTTTAAATATTTATTAGAGATATTATAAGAGCTAAACACTTAATATTTTGTTGGATTACTCTTTCAGTTTAAAGTTGTGTTCTACTCAGTCTTTTATTACTTAAAAAGTAAAAAAGATATAAGAAAATAAATAGAAATCTAAATTAAAATTTAGAAAATATTAAAAATATAATCTTTCATTTTAAAATTAATTCTAAAATTTAAACTTAAAGATAAAATTATATTAAAAAACTCAAAATATTCTAAAAATAATATAAAAAATTAATTAATCCAAAACATTATCAGTATTCATATCTCAAATGTCAATACTATTCTACATATAAATGCGTTGTATTTTTATTTAAAAATATAAAAAGAGATTAAAAAAAACTGAGTTGACCTAAGATTGCTTTGAGAGTTTCAAAGTGAAAATAATAAAAATAAGAAATAATGCAACCCTTCATAAAAATAAAAATAAAAAAAGTGTGTCATTCATACTATATACGTAGTGGGGTGATTTTTATTAATCCATAGAACAAGTTGCCCCCCATATTAACAAGTCAACATTAAATAATGTGACAATGTTATATCCTCAAAATGCTTATTAGTGTTAGTTTAATAGCTAAACTAAAATATTTGGTTGTTGAATTGGTATGCATATGTGAAAGCAAAAGGATTTCAATGAAATGAGTAGTGGACAAGTGGAAAACAGCTACCTAGTTGACCAATATGCCAAAGTCTGCAGGTGCAGACACAGAGTCACCATTGTTCAAGTTCATGATGCACACATGTTACCTACCTTACCTTCCACTACTATTTTATTTTTTCTTTATCTCACTCATATTTACTTATCATGCACTTTCCTATTTATATATTTTTTTTTTCTTATTCGAGTAATAACTGTTTATATATTTTAATCAACTTCTTCATGTATCAGGATTTTAATTTCTGATTTTGAATACATAGAATACTCAATTTATGTGTTCATAGTATCTAGCAGATGATAAATATTTTATAACAATACCATAATTATAAAAAATATATTATATTCATTACTTCATTGCATTAATGATAGAGTTTGATTATACGAACTCACTTTCTTTTTGGGCTTTTCTTTTCCACTTACTGTTTAGACACTCTCGATCATTGTCATTCTTTTAATGAAAGTATTGGTTGTCCAAACATCACTTTGTTACTTTCCTTCTTTGACTTGTTAGATTCACGCATGTAGAGTCCAAAATACAAATCTAGCGTATGCTAATATTTATTAATTTGAACCACCTTAGTACGTATATTTTTAATACAAGTTTATATATCTTTTTCAATTAAAATAATGAAAATATAAAAAATACTTTCTATTTGTTTCAGATATGATGTAAAAGGAAATCGTTAAATATTAATGCATATTCATTTTACGTTAGATTTTTAGAATCACGTTGAAATTCAAGTTAACATGATTAATTTTAGATAAATTTTCATGTTAGTTAGTTTTACATCAATAATTAAATTTTTAGAAATAATGCAATAAACAAAAGTTTTATACAAATTTTAACTCTTAACTTAATTTTTAATAAAAACATTTAAATATAAATTCAATAACTCTAAACTAAATTTTCAATAAAATTAATTCCAAATTACATTTTCCAAAGTAGTATCAAACTAGAAATGGGGGTTACGCTTCTTTCAACCTTTTTCCAAACAAGCTATTAATGGTTGCAACTGTGTTACAGAGACCAATCATTAAGTTCTGTTTCGGGGCAGGACAATCATATCACATCCCAGACGAAACATAGAAAGTTATTTCTATTACAAATTTACAACGGTAACTCCTTAGCATATTACAAGAGTGAAGTTGTTAAGGAGGACAATGTTAATGAACAGAAGATTTTTTTAAAGAACAGAAGATTTTGATTGTTACGCAGTGTTATTGATAAATCAACAATTAAGATTGATATAAGTTTATTAAGATTTATCTGGTATATTTACAGCACTCTTTAACAAAATTCATTGTTAAAAGGATACCTAGTTATCTAGAACTAAAACGAATGATTCCTACAAACAAAATAAGATATGATTAATAAAATAATTTTTTGAAATTAAATATATTGTTAGAAATTTAATTTATGTTTATAAAAAAATATTTATTAGAAAAATTAATCTCTTGAATAAATCTGGACACCTTAAATAATTGAATAGAGATGACAAGTAGATCTGGTCCCAAAAACATGTATGTTTCAATTATCATTAACAAAACCGCGGCTACTATAATAATAGACAAGACAACAAAGTCAACAATGAACTACCATATTAGTTTCTCAAGTTAAACAAGCTGCATTAATATATTTCTTAGAAAGAACTCAAATTTCTAAGGCCCAAAATCTTCTTTTCGCCACTATCACTAATACCATAACAAGAATCTTGCTAATCACATATCTCAATAATTAAGATTAAAACCACTTAATCCACTTTATTAGTAAATTCTTCTCACTACTTAATAAAACAAAAATTACCAATTTCCCAATTTCATTTCACCAATCACTAGTGAAATCTACCGCGCCCCTTTTTAACCAAGAGGCCACTTTTTTTTTTAATTTATTTATAAAAGTTAATTTATCGAGACAAATAAAATAATTGAATATTTAAAACTCAAATACAACACCATTTATTTAACTAAAACAAAATACCTGTGAGTTAATTTATCCACACAATAGTTACCTGATCTGGAAACAAATTAGAAAAGTTAGTTCAAAACCATTTCAATTCATTGAAACACACACACACATGCAATTTACATAATATCCAATGATAATGCATCATATTGTTTAAAAAATAACAACAATAATAGTAATGCATTATAGAAAACCTAATTAAGTAACGGTTTGGAAAACAAAATCCAACATTTAAAAGTAAAGTGGATGCGATTGATGCGAAGCCAAAAATCTGTCTTTCTTTAATTTTATTGATACAATTAAAATTTTCTTGTTTGATCAGGTATATACATTTCACTACACTAGCGTTGTAGTTGTAGTTGTAGCCCCCACCACAATAAAAGGTAGTAGTATTATATATATATAGTAGTAATAATAATAATAATATAAATTAAAAAAATAAAAATAAAAAGTTCAGAGTGAAGCAGCGTAATCCTCGTGATAAAAGTGTGAAACCCCAGAAGCGGCCCATAATCGGTGGTTATACTCATCGAGCTTGTGATGCGGGACGAAGGGCGTTCGGCAGAGGGGACACGTCTTCTGATCGTGATCGATCCAACGGTCCACGCACGCGCGGTGGAATATGTGCTTGCAGTTCGCCATGCACCGGATTTCCTCCTCCGCCCGGAACTCGTTAAAGCACACGGCGCACGACGGAGGAGGGGAGGCGTCGGCGAGGTCGGCGAAGGGCGCGACGGGGAGGAGGTCCCGGATGAGGAGCGCGGAGAGCGTGGGGGCGCGCGGCGGGGAGGGCGGGGGCGGGGGCTCGGGCCAGGCGGCGTCGGTGTCGAGGAGGTCGGAGAGGCGGAGCAGGCGGAAGAGGGAGAAGACGAGGGAGCGGAGGCAGGCGAGGAGGGAGAGCGCGTGGAGGAAGAGGTTTGGGACCAGCACTTCCGGGTACCCTACGGGGAAACCCATCGTCGGCGCGTGGGGGTTTTTCTTCACGCGCTTCTTCTTTTTCAGTGGATGAGATGAGTTTTTTGCTTTTCTTTTGAGAGGCAGAGTGAGGTGTGAGGAAATGTGAGTGAAGAGATGAGGTGTGGGGGCTTATATATTGTGGGTTGTTGGAGACTGATACACTCACTGCCTGTCACGCAGGGGGAACGGGAATGACCAATGGCAAGTGGCGTCGGTTAAGGGGTTAGTTGGTGGAGGTGGAGGATGATGTGTACTTAGATGTGTATATATAAAGCCAAAAAAAATTACTAGATGTGTAGGTAATTTTATCATGTGTGAGGAGTTTTTCCTTTAGTAGCATCAAAGTTATGGTAGGGAACATACAATAGTGTCATCCAAACTTTTGAAAATATGAATATGTATCTTCTATTGCATCCAATATAATTTCATTAGAGGAGATGACATCAAAAGGATACATGTATGTTGGTTCAAAATAGGGATGCAAAGTGTACAAGAAAAGACGTTTGATATTGCGAGGGCAAAATAATGAGAAAATTCTTCACTACTTATAAGAAGTTTCGAGAAGATAAATATTTTGATGAGCTATAGTTATTTGAAAATTTTAATTAAGGGATGATTTGTTGGAAAAATGATTCAAAGTTTAAATAAAATGAGTGAGTGAAAATTCAAAGAGTTATTCTAAAAATTTGTAATCTTTATAATATTATTTAGATTTATATATTCTTATCAATTTGTTTTAATCAATATCTTTTAAGAATTTGTTTCAATTAATAACTTTCATGAACTTGTTTCCCTTTTTTAATAAGGAGGATTATAGTATTTAAATTTAGTATTCCACTTTTACTTTATATATAAAGTCTAGTAATGAAATTACTAGGTTTGATCCATTTATGATCCTTCGACATATGAATAACTTTATTGTGTGAGAAGAAATTTTTTCCTTCAACTCTTATAAAGTTGTTTTAACGAGTCAAAAAGAGAATATATTTTATAAAAAAAAATATGAAGCTTAAAATATATATTTTTTTTACCTATAAACATAATTCACACAATATTTCAAAGTTAATAATAAAAAAATTAATTTATATTTTGATTAAATATTATTTTAATATAAATAGAAATTAAATTTAGAAGTATGGGGTCAACTTTTATACTCCAAGAGAAACCTTATTACTATGAACTATATTTTTTTAAAGATTATATTCACTTGTCATGCATCACCAAGAAAATCTAATCCTGTTAGGAGAAGATCCAAATTTAAAATAACTTGCATTTCGTTTTCAGCAATCTAGATTTCATTTACATATTTAATGATACAGATGAATGAGGACGAGGATTATTAGCTAGGTTAGTTTTTGTCTTGGCTTAATATATATATTAAACTGCGTATGGGTTTACTCTTTCTTTCGCAGAACTTGTGCGTTATTAAAATATTGCACAATACTCACATGCTTCAACAGAGAAAGAGTGAGGAAGCATAGTGGACAAATAACATGTTTTAATAACATCTTCACCTTCATCTTCTTCCGATTAACAAGAAAAAAAAAATATTATCTTCTCTTTGGACGACCATAGAATCATAATATACATGTAAAGAGCATGAACGATGATATGATAACGAAGAACATAAATATATTTAATTATGTGCTGTGTCACTTTCTGGAATATGTATTATATTCATATCATGAGCCTATAATAAAAAAATACCGTTTAAGACAAACATGTTTTAATTTAAAGTCGTGGTTTTGGTTATAGTTAGCTCTCTAGGCTTTTTATTTGTTGTTAAAGCCGCATAAACTGATAAGGTTCTTTTTTGATCTAATGAGATAAAATAAAATAACTATGCTTTTCATAAGGTAGTACAGTACATCATAAATCACCTATGAAAGTGGTTAGTGGTCTACAATAGTCATTACCTACATATTCCGGTTAATAAATATTTTCTTTAAAAAATATAATAAAAACTTAAAAAATTATGGGAAAAAAGTATTTATCTATTTTAAATTGATATCTTAAACTTAAACTTTATTTTATTTAGTCCTTAAATTTTATCTCATTTATATATGGACATCATAAATTTTAATTTTTGTTTTAGTTATTTTTTAAGTAGTTTAATTTCAATATAATATAAAAGATTATTTAAAAATGAAAAAAAAAATTAAATTAAGATGAAATTAAAATCAAGTATTTATTTGCATAAAATGGTAAATTTTAAGGATCAATTATAACAAATTCATACATGATATCTATTTATTATGAGAATAAAATTTAAGGATCAATTGAAATAAAATTAAAGTTTATAATTTTTATTTGTAAAATAGTAAAGTTTAAGAGAATTAAGTTTTTTTCCCCAAAATTTATTGATGAAAATTGAGACTAAAGAATATTTATCACAAAATACGGTCTAAAACTCTATATTGAAAGAAATAGGTGTAATTAATTATAGAGTTAATCACCTATACACTGTTAGTGTGAAGTTTTTTTTACATTGACAACCAATTATATATTTTAATTATGTCATGTCACTGTAAACACAATTACTTTTAACAGTAACATGACACAATTAAAAGATATATATTGGTTGTCAGTGTAAAAAAATTTTACACTGACAGTGTATAAGTCATTAACTCTTAATTATATATTATTTATGATAAATATTTCTAATGAATACAATTTAAGTGATCCATTGTCAATTTTTTAGATAATCATGATATTGATATATAGTATGCTTGTTAGAAATTGTGAGTACACACAATGTGTTTATTTTTCTCTCGATATAGTCTATTATTTCATATTTAATATCAGGGTTTGAATCTGAAAATTTTATTCAAAGAGTACAAAATCACTTCTCCTTATATCAATCAATTTTGATACCCATTTTCAATTCTTTATTTCTTATTAAACAGTTCTTAATTTCACATTATATTTAAGCAACTCATACATTTTTTGCTCTAATCCTATAATTTTAAGCTATTCTTAAATAAATAATTTTTATTTTTATTTACATCTAATTTTTTTCAATTAAAATATGAATACAATTATTTTAATGACCCTCATTTGGTTCTTCTAATCTCTCAACCTCCCCACAATTTCATCTTCTTCCAAATTTATCAACAGCTGATTAGCCTGATCTCCCATTATTCGCATCCCCCAAGTTGTTTCATTTTCTCCCTCTTGTCTCTCAACCTCTCAAAATCATTTATTTTTCTCTCATCTTTCACAATCTCTCGATGTTTCAACTTTTTTTCCTCAATAACAACACCGTCCCCCCAAGCCCTTTCTTTGCTTCAAACCCTCATCTTCTCTGGATCGTAGCTTTTCCTAACCCCTACCAACCAGAGGCCATACAAGAGGAGGCTTGGAGAAACAAAGCTTAATTTTAAGAAACAATTTTTTAATCATAAGCAATCGTTGCTTATATAACCAACAATGCTTAATTTTAAGGAACCCAACTTGACATGTAGATATTATGTAAGCAATCATATGTTATAATAACGAACTAACATTTGAAGATGCCCTTATAAACTTCTAAGAAATTCACTTAGTAAAATCTTATAAACACAACATATCTTAAATGATTTAGGCTCATACATGACGGATACCTTTATTGCTTTTAGTTATTTTTACTATACATTTTGTATTGCTTTTAATTTTTTTTAATATTATTAACCAATAAGATATTGATGAAAATTAGCATGCAAGCATCAAAGAGATCTAGTATAGTTACAAAATAATTGAATTTCTTAAATACGTTGTGAAGATTCGATGAAAGAAATTAATTTCTGAGTATTCGTTAATAAATATTCTTAGGGGATGTTGAATTTATATGTTTGGTATAAGGATTTTAAAAAATATATTATACATACTAACTTTCCCGAAATTTATTGGAGTAGTTTGTAGCATCTTTATTATCCAACGCTCGGGATAATGTGATGTTTTTTAAATAATTAAGAGAATATTATTTGGTGTTCTTATAATATTTTTCAAATAATTAAGAGGAGTTCGTATAAGACTATAGGAGTAGGAAAATAAGGGGATGAGTGAAATCTCATGAAACTTTAGGGAGTGTCACTGTATAAAATTACTCATAAACTCATTTCAAGAATCTAACTTTTCTAATACTTTTTTTTAACTAAGTTTTTCACTATAACTTTTTATGGGACGGGTGAAAATCCCAAATTTCCTACGAAAATTGATTTTTTTATTATTAATTATCTCTTTAATTTCCACAAATATTTTAAACATATCAAACATAATTATGATATTTTCATTGAACATGTTTCCCAGAAAATATAATTATCAGGAAACATGATCTTTAAATATAAAAAAAATGTTTCTATATATACAAAACACCCCGTTAGTGTACTAAAAGGAAAAAAGATAGAAAAAAATGTTTCTATATATACATGCATTATCATTTTTTTACATGTCATAGTTATTTTTACATAAGATAGTTTTGTTTGAATAAAGAAAAGATAACTATAGAAAAATAAAATTTTCTCATTAAATATTATATATATATATATATATACACACAAAAAAAAACTTTAAATTATTAAATAAATTAAAATAACCTCACACAAGGTCATTCATGTCCAGAAGTTGAAAAGCTTATAATTTAATTACGAAATTAATTATATGTTTAAAATAATATATGCATTAAATTTGTCAAAATCATGTTCATTTTATTTGATAGAGAAATACTAACGATATTCTCTTTAACAATATTTTGCTAATATTATATATATTATTAATTGAAAATTATAAATGTTAATCAGTATTATCATTATTAATAAAGACTTATTAAAAAATACGAGACTCGCAAAAGTTAATATTTTTAATAAATTTTAGTCAACAATAAAAATAGTATTAAGATAGAAAATTACTATTCGATGTTCCGCTCTTACAATTCATATTAAAAAGCTAGAGAAATGTTATTTTCTCCGAATTATTTTGTGACAAAAACAGTCAAACAAATGAAGTTCGTGTGAACTAATGAAGGATAAATTAAAAAGAAAATAAGTTTTCAAATTTGAATGCATATCAAAGTTTAATTGAGTTGAATGATATTTCTCTGAAATCTAATAGGAATTTATGCATGTGTACGTGGAATTCTCATTTTATTCACTCTACTTTATTCCGTTGTTTAT